AACTGTTCTGGAACAGTGTTGTAAATACAACTTAACCACACGAAGCAGATATCGTCCTCTTTTGGAAGACCAAACAAAGTAATTTCGCTTTCAAAATGAAACACACAGCATCTCGACATGGCGGCAGCAACAATACTACAGTGAGAATAGAAGTTACGCCTTCTTTCCTTGCGTGAATATTTGCAAATCTTATCTGCAAATCATATGCAAATCTTCCCACATCGTGACATAGACATGTGGGGGCGTGTTAGAACGAGCCGTTTTAGGTAGGCGTGGTTGACTCTTAAATTTTATAAAGAATATCTCTTTGGATTTGAGACTTTAGTCCTTGCAACTTTACAGATCTTCTTTATGCACCAAGAGCTTGTAACACTCCAAAGAGAAAGGAAAAATTGAAATCGCATCATATGACCCCTTTAAGTACACAGAAAATGAGTAAGAAAAGCACCTCAAATTCAGAGAGTCTGTTGCGAGTGCGTTGGACTCCATGTACACTGTGGTAGCCATCAGGAGCACAAGTCAAAGTGGTGTCTTTCTTCAACAGGTCCTTACACCGACCCAAAGCCACTTCACACACCAACAGCAGCCGAGAGCCGTCAGTCACACTGGGCTTGGAGTAATTTACACTAGTCCTTTAACACAGAGAAGAAACTTACAGACTGAATAATATCTCCAGTTGTCATGATAGTGGGTTCCCATTATTAATAAATCCGTTATATTAAGAGATGACTGAGTAATGCTAAAAACCACTGACTTCAGAGAGTCACTGAAGTAGATTCCTCCTCCAAGATTCCCGATATCCGTTCTCTCAATTCCATGCTGTTCGACTCCAACCCTGGGTAGCAGCAGACCTCTATAAAGAATGTTTAAAAATGTAAATGTAAAAATTTTAATTCACTTGGTTAATATCAATCAGAAGAAACATGATTCAGCCACATGCAGTGTGTCTGTCTTCACTCACCCCACCACAGTATATATTGAATGTGACAGACATACTGTAAGTGTGTGTGCTGTTTTGTCATTGCATTTAAACAAAGGTTTTTTAAAAAAATGAGCTCTTACCGTGACAGTATTCCAACAAAACTGCTGGGACTAGTGGAGTGGAGGAGGGGTTTAATGTTGCCTAAATCCTCCTTAAACAACTGAAGCTCCATCCCTCTGCTGACACGCAGTATCTGCTGAATCTGAACAGGCCTGTAGTCGATACAAGATTAACATAAATATTTGAAGACACACTCTGAAATATGTTTATGTTTGAACTTCATACCACAATCAGCACAATCATGTTTACCTGTCCTGAAGCAGTTGAGAGACAACATGAAACTCAGGGTTTTGTGGTGGAACAACCTCAATGCTGCACCTCAGAGCTCGATACTTTCCCAGAGACGAGGGTGAGGGGCTTCCCAGAGTGGCCTCGCTGACATTTATAATATCTCTGATCAGCTGGAGACGACAGAAGAGGTAAAAGAGTAAAAAGGTCAGATCTGCACTGTTGAATTAAAAAGCCAAATTCATCTACCAAAATCTTAAAATGTGAAGGAATTTCATTCAGTATTTTAATTTATTTAAATAGTATAATCATTGTATTACAGTAATTTAAAAAAATCTATGTATTATTTAGTAATGAACTATTTATACAACTGACAATGCTTTTTAAGAATGAGAATAGCAAAACAACAAAAAGTAAAACCGTCTAATAATAAAAACATGAAGAAAATGAGCTTAACTGTTATGAAAATAATATTATTATACCAAAATCTTAATGATCCTAAATAAGAGGATGCAACAATTCACTCAACTCATGACTTGCTGTGATTCATGATACTGATACTCTTTTAACTAAATGAGTTTTAGGACAAATTATAAATGAAAAGGTGTTTTTTTTATTTCTCAGACAAAATGCACATTTCTTTGTGAAATTGAAATATGTCAAATAACTAAACTAAATAGAAATTTTAAAACAAATCACAAATCAAATAAATAAATAAATAATGCAAATAAAGGAAATATTTTCATATAAACAAACTAAGACTTTTCCTCTTTCCATTTAAAACGAGAGGCAACCACTGTATATTAATCACGATTCAAACAAAGATGCTGCATGAGCAGTTTATTAGTTTGTGTAATTTAGATTGTATAATTTCGAAATTTGAAGCAAAAACAGAATGGTCTGACTTTATCTTTGTGCAACGTTATAGCATGAGACAGAATGTTTCCTTGGTTACTGCTGTAAACAAAGCAGCACTGTGCTAATAAATACCATTTCAATATGCATTATACATAGATAAGATGAAAAGAAAATACCATCTAATCTTTTTTCTGAAGACAGTCAGTTTTCCTCAAAGATACATTCACATAAACCCCCAATTGTATCACGATTTGCTTAACATCTCAACCAACTTGAGTTGTCACATATTTTCATCGATTTTCTACCAGCTTGACATGCATCGATACACCCTATTCCTAAAGTATTATAACAATTTTATACTATAATTGATGTATGTGATACCTGACAAAGGTCTAGTTTCTTTGACACAAGCTTGTCTTTGGAAGGAGGGTCGATCATTCTGAGGGGCAGAAGAGTGTTGACCTCCTCCAGCAGGGCTTTGACTTCATCCTCTTTCTCAGTCTTTTGTGCCTGCAGTAACAATCCCTCCCCCCTGCTCACCTGCAGCAGCACAGAGCCAGTAAACACACTGGAACCGTTAAACACAGCAAATTCCTGTCAGCTCCTTTACTGCACTCTGTGTGATCATCAAAGCTCATGCTCACATCATTGAGGCTGATTCTGGAGACAGGGACTGTCAGGATGTTATTAAGGGAACCGAGAGCTTCAGTCCAAACCAGCTCCACAAAGACACCAACTTCCTGTGACAATGTGCTGCAGTTCAGCTTCTCCTCCAATAGCAGCTGCCGATCAAGAGTGAGCAATTAATTCACACCTATTAGACACATGTATCAAATAGGCCTAAATAAAAACAGTTCTGCGTTGTGTTTATCTAACCTGCTGGAGGCTATAGGACGCCAAGCGCTCAACCTCAGGGGGAAGAGTGTGTGTCTTTGTGAATTCCTCTGTCGCCATCTCATTCATCAGCTGCAGATATGCTTCCACAGCATCTTCAGACGTCACGCAGAACACAAGCTTGTCCTGAACCACTGCGGTCTATAGTGAGAGAGAGAGTCCATCACCGTCACCACAAGACAAATTCAGCATCTCGGTCAGCATCTGTGATTCCAGAGATAACAACATTCATGATGACCAAACCTCAGCTTCACGCAAAACTGAACACAACACACGATACTGCTGGCCTGCTCGGCCTTTGGCACTCTGCAGCTCCAGAACAGACAAAGTCTTGGGTTTGACCTGAAACACAAAAACACTTGCAGACATGCTCAGGCTGTGGTGGAGAATGTGTTAAAACGGTCATCATACTTTTTTTTTTTAAATTAATTAATTTTTTTAGCGTCCAATAATAAAATAAAGTTAATGTGAATGATGAATAAAGTCTCACCCTCTCAAAAACGGAATACTTAGCCACTTGAAAATATGAAGGAAATTCAGGCAGGTCATGGTCACCTTCTTTGTAAACTCTGCATTGAGTAAATGAAAAGGGGTAGTCAGGTAAACAAGCAAATCTAAACAGCACAAGTGCTGCAGAAACTGATTAAAAACCAAAAACTGTTGAACAAACTCAAGAACTGACAGTGACAAAAAACAGGAGCGCACCTGAACCTGCCAGGACGGGGTCCACCCTTCTCAAGAATCTCAGCTTCAGTCTTTGGGAGTTCAGGGTGACCTCTGAACGTCTCTTTTCCTAGTATGTGTGTTGACACTTTTACCTCTTTATGGTGAAAAACAACATAATGTCAACCATGCCACAAAAATACATGGTTTAATCTCACTTAACACTCTCATAACCCAAATATAATGCCAAATACATTCTCAACAAAAATGTACTGCAACACAAGGCCAAACATGTGTCAGGTAAACAAGCAAATCTAAACAGCACAAGTGCTGCAGAAACTGATTAAAAACCAAAAACTGTTGAACAAACTCAAGAACTGACAGTGACAAAAAACAGGAGCGCACCTGAACCTGCCAGGACGGGGTCCACCCTTCTCAAGAATCTCAGCTTCAGTCTTTGGGAGTTCAGGGTGACCTCTGAACGTCTCTTTTCCTAGTATGTGTGTTGACACTTTTACCTCTTTATGGTGAAAAACAACATAATGTCAACCATGCCACAAAAATACATGGTTTAATCTCACTTAATGCCAAATACATTCTCAACAAAAATGTACTGCAACACAAGGCCAAACAGGTCACCAAACACACCCAATGTCAACAAATAAAACTAATCTGGCTGTGACACTCCCATCTGTTCTGTCAACGTTGACCTCCTTTCACATCTTATACAAGTAAACCTTACAGTATCACTTTAGAAAAACAACTGACATCTTTTCTACTGAAGAAAGACAGTGATCAAATAAACTTACAAGGTAGTGCTGGTTTGGCAACCACAGTCTGAGGAAGTGCTTTGAATAAAAAAAAACTAAACCAGGTTTCCAGATCACAGTGTGCTAATACAACCACAGAAAACAAGCAGTCTTCATGAACTCCTACCTGAAGGAGGGAGGAATTCAGAGGTGGGATATGGCAGCTGTGGGCTCAAATTATGCTCCGTCAAAGGCAGGAGATGCCCTTGGTCCATACAGCTCCACACATACTGCGTCCCGACCACTGGGATCTGCAGCTTCTGGATGCTGCGCTGCCGGTTACTGCTCAGATCCTCCACACTGCTCGTGACTACAAAAGAGCACTGGAGGAGATAAACGGAGGTCAGAAGTCTGTATTTTATGCAACTTTGAAACCCAACTTCTTACCTATATTTAAACAATAATTTGCTTTAGACAGAAGAAACAGAAAGGTAGTTATTACAAAAAAATGAGCACAATACGTACCTCTTTGTTGATGACATATGAGATGTTTCCTCCATTCTCCAGAAGAGCTAATCTCAGTTTATTCTTTTCTTTAAAAGGCACATTTTTCACATCTAACACCACAGTACAGTTTTTAAACACGGTCATGGTGCCACCAGTGTCTAAATTAGAGTCCGAGAAAAGAGAAAACGGCAATGAAACCTACAGTAAATAACAATCATATGATAATACTCGCTGTAAAGTAGCGTGCTATTCTATTTCCGTATTAGGCGACCACAAAGTACACGTACAAGTAAACATCTCGAGTATTCATTAAATAAATCAGACCGCATAATACACATATTGATGTAAAAATTAAACAAATTAAATTATCTTGCTTTTGATATAAATTAATTAAATACTCGGATATAATGCAAATCCAGCCTGCAGTATCTCTCTTGCTAATGTTGTCATGTCAAAGCATTACCGTGGACAAAGAGTCGAGTGACAAGTTTAGGTTTTAAGAAAATACACGAAGACGTAAATATCTTGCAGTGTAAAGTTCAGTAAAAGTGCTTCCTGAGCAGTCTATGTTCCTGACTCATATACAGTAAAGACACACCTCCCTGAGATAAAAACATTAGACGGGCTCCATCCAGTGGTCGAAGCACAGTTTCCTTTGCAAACTTTTTAAAATGAACATTCGATCTCCTTAAGTAAAAAATAAAAAACACACACATTTGATATTTGATAATTGTCTCATTTCTACACCAGATTCGTTCTGTTCAAGGCTTAAACAAAATACGAAAACACACACATTTTAAATTTGATAATTAATTGTCTCGTTTCTACACAAGATTCTTTCTGTCTAAACCTAAACCCATGTCATACGTGTTGCCAATTTAGAAACTTGCTAGATTTAGCAACTTTTCAGATTACCCTAGCAACTTTGTCTTCCAAAAGCACCTAGCAACAAATGTAGCTATTTTTTTTTTTGCCAACTTTTAGCAACTTTTGATAAGTGACTCAAACGATAAAAAGGCACACATTTTCCATCTAAATTAGACACAAAGAGGAAACCAAAGATGCCTAGCAGTGCACACATCACGTGAATTAAGTTAACGGCTATTTGCAATTGTTCAATAATAATTAGGTGTGTTCGACTTGAAGCGGCGCTGCGCAGACCGATCGGTGTATGACATCAAAGTACCGTGAGAGCTAATAGAGAGCAGACGGGCCTGCATGATTTCTAATCGCTCTCGCGGTGCTTTGATGTCATCAATCTGCACAGCGCCGCTTCAAGTCGAACACACCTAATTATGATACACCTTGTTAGTAGCTTGTACCTGTGATTGTTGATCAGTTGGAATGGAAAATTGTAGAAATGGAAAAGGTAGTAATTTTCCAGGACTTTATCCATTATCCATTAACCCTGTAACCCCAAAACACTAAATACAATGCTGAATTTAAAATGTAGGTAAAAAAAACCTGTGAAAAATCAATATGGAAAATTCCTTCATATTAACATAGTAGACTATTTTTACAGGCTTTTCTTAGAGTGTAGCATACTAACAAACTACTAATACCCCTGCTTAAAACGAATTGTTCAGAATGTGCTAATACATTTTTTTTTACTAGCTAATAAAAAAAAAACTTAAATTGCAATTGTTAAAAAATGTGTACGCGTTCAGTAATTTAATGTTGTATTTAAAAATACAGTTATTTATATTTTAATATTATTATATTATGCATTTATATTAGTTTACGAACAAATCGAAATTAACATACATAAATCATATTGCCTTTATAAAGGTTCAAAGGGAAAAAAAGCAACAAAAATATTATGATGAATTAATGAATAAAATTCCCTTGGTAGTTAGAACACAATTGCACTTGCTTATGTGGATTTTCTTGACTATAATCACTACCAAAATAGGCCTACCATAAACACTAAAGTAGTTGTTACTAGCAATAAAACAGTGTTAATTCACTATTAGCTATCGCTGTCATCAAAAATATGTTTGTATGCTATTTAAAATATGCTAAAAATGTCCAGATTGAATTTAGCATTATTTATATAATAATATAGTAGGCCTATTTAGCAATATTTAGATTGTTTTATTTTTAGATTTTCAGCTTTCATGTTAATTTTAGTTTAACTTGGTAATTTTGTCATGTGCTTTATTTTTTATTGATTAGTTTAAATTTGTCTATGTAGCCTTCTTTTAGTTTCCATATTTCTAATATTCGTGTTTTAAGATTTGTTTAACATTTTTTTAATTTTATTTAAGATACCAAAACAATATTAGTTTTAGTTTGAATAATTTTAATTTGAGTAATTCTAATGATTACTTTTATTTTTTGTTTTGTTTTAGTTAACAGTAATTACACTGGTCTGAAACATGATGCAGAATTGCCACCATTAATATTTAGAGTAATATTTAGATGGCAGTTACCATTAATAGACGTCTTTACCAATTCGGTGAGCATGTTTTCCAGCTTTTTTAGGTTTATAAATCTTACCGTTGTAAATTTAATGAAAAGCATCATATTATGAAGGATTTAACTGAAATGATGGTGTATTGTATTTATTCTTTGCTCATTTTATACCATGTTCTGCATTGACCCTTGCTACTTCTCATTTATCAGTTTTTTTTCTTCTAGGTAATTGGCCTAATTCTTATTCTTGGCCTTTCATTTTTGTTGACGATAAGTTCATCTCTCACGACCCGATGGAAGCCGTATTATAAATCGCTCTATGATGTTTATGTGGAGCGGGAGACTTCAGCCATTCTGGAGGACAAACTACATGATAAAGCTGTGGAGAGAGCCAAACATGTCAGTGAGCATTCGCTGAGGAACTTTCAAAATCCACACATGAACATTCAGGGTGATGCTCATCATGTTCAGTATCAACAGTTAGGGAATGCTGAAGAAGACATGTGGCACAAAATATCAGACCCAGCCCTACATTTAATGGAGTTGCCATAGACACTGTAAACTTTATGCCTGCTCCCTGCATCTTGCCAAAGGAATAGTGTACCACTGTTTTCACATTTATTTGCATATTCTAATTGTGGGTTTATTCTCTATTTAATACTGAGGTACAAGCAATTCATTGCGTTCAATATTGCAAAAAATGCTATACAAATAGCAAGAGGTTCAAGAGAACTCCAAATAAAATACTGAGGTGCTAAGGAGGTTAGTATGTGAGGATACTCAACTGTTCAAAAGTTTCGGTCTGTAAGATGTTTTTCTTTTGAAAAATTATATTTTTATGAAGTATGAATGCATTAAATAAATAAAAAAATGACAAAAAGACATTTATAAAGTCACAAAAGATTTCTATTTCAAATCAATTCTGTTTTAAACTTTTTATTCATCAACTCCTTTAAAATGTTTCACGGTTTCCACTAAAATATTCAGCAGCCCAGCTGTTTTCAACATTGATAATAATAATAAATGTTTCCTGAGCAGCAAGTTAGAATGATTTCTGAAGGATCATGCAACACTAAAGACTTTGCCATCACAGGAAAAAAATGTTTTAGAAATATTCAAAAAGAAAACAGCTCTTTTAAATTGTAATAATATTTCACAGTATGACTGTTTCTACTGTGCTATGCTTTTGATCAAATAAATGCAGCCTTGGTGAGTGGAAGAGACTTCTTTCAAATCATACCAGTCCCAAACTTTTGAATGATAGTGTGTGTGCAGTTATTGTTACAATAAGAACTGCAGATCCAATGCACAACAAGAAGAAAGAAAAAATGAATTCTTTAATACAAAAAGCTTTACAGTTTACAAAAAGACATTTTCTATTCTAAAAATAATTAATGACTATGCACCTTTTATTTTTTTGGCACAGTGTATGAGCAGAACTAAAAGGGCAGAATGTTAGACATTCTTCTTCCCCTCCTTGTTCTTCTTCTTTTTTTTAAACAAAGTTTTGTAAAAATGTTTTACACTATTAAAGACCACCGGAATAGATTCTAGATGAGCTCTTTTGGATTAGCCTAATAGAATCTACCTGGAGAATAGAACGAGCTGGAGTGAAGTTAAACACTTAAGTAGTTATTGCTTGGTTTGTTGTATACCCCTAAGGTTATAATTTTTAAATGTTCTTTAACAATTTGAAGAAATTTGTTTATATAAATTGGGAATTAATGAGGAAAGTGTTTTCTATAATTTTTTTTAATATATATAATTGATGTTATTAATAAACAAATTATTACAAAAATAATCCTTTAGAATATAAAGCTATAACTTTACGTATACATGAATGTTAGTTATTTGTGACCTTAAGGATTCACTTCACCCTCTCTTCACAGTAATATTCTTCACTTAAGATCTTAAAATCTATTGGGCACATTAATGTTGTGCATGACTTGCATCTGATGAAACACAACCGCTTGGGTTCATTCAGCTCAGTCTCATAGGTGAAGTTTGTTGAAGTGTAAGTAAGTCTGTTTAAATATAGGTGGACAAATGTGATTGTTTGAGGGATTTATTGCTGTGGAACCAATTATATGTATTATAGCGTGAGGATCATATTGCATTTTTTAATGAACCACATTATATTTGCTTTAATATGAATAAACATTTTTGATATTTGCTATCCCAGTTCATGAATATTGAAGTATTTATCATATGTGTGACGGTGGATGTCAAAGATTTTTCAGAAAAGTTATATATATTAGAAGAATACAGGACAATTGGGGTGTATGCTTTGAGCCTGCAGTTCCTCCATCCCACCACATGAGGTTCCTCCTCTCCAATGTTAGTGCACTGACTGCACACACACCTGGGTTACGCATTTCGTTTTTATAAAACACTTACTGTAAGTAGTTATGCATGTGTCTTGAGAAGCCACAGCTGTTCAGTTGCTGTATTTTTTGTCGGACTGATTTGCAGACCTTGTCTGTTTTGATAGATGGCTCTGGCTAAAGCTCAAGGCCATGAGGAGTCCTGCAAAGTACAGTATAAGCTGTGAGCCACTGTGCCTTTGAACCCATGTTGCTCCAAAGGGACTGATTAATCGCTTTGCTCTGTGGTTTTATTTGCCTGTTGACATTAATATTGATTTGAATTGGCATAATCTAACTTTAATACATTTTTAGCCCAAGATGCTAAACATGGGTTAGATGGTTATTTACATGTACAGATATAAATAAGCTTTTCAATGTAATGAGCATACATTGCCCACAGAAAACCAGATAAGTCTGTGCACACTGAGTCCGAAGTTTTCGTCCGAAATGTTCGCACGTTGAAAAATAAGTCAACTTTAAGTCAACAATTGTGCCTGGGAGAAGGTCAGTGTGAATCTGTATTTCAAAGGAAGGCTCTTCTGTTACCCTCTGCATAATGAAGCTTCTGTGATCTCAGATCATAATATGATTCACAGGACATCATACAGCTTTTTACGATTCATTGCTGATGCAGAATCTTTTTTTGAGAAATGTGTCATCCAGTTTTAAT